AATAGAATGGGAGAGACACTTAGGACTATTTTCACATGTTGTTTTAACATGAGCAAGGGAAGAAGTCTTATTGTGATTACGCTTGCTTGGTTCTTTTCGTCCTGAAAAAAATGAGTATTTATTAAAGTGTGATGGCTTTTATATTAGTGATAAGCCCACTTTTCCATTTGTTTCTACATTTTAGTACCATTTTGTTCTAAATATCTATAAATTGTTGCAAAGTTTAGTATTTATTCTACTTGTTATGATGCTGTGTTTGTTATTAAATTTCTAGTATGCGCAGCCTGTCAACAGGGTGTCTTTTGCTGTTTTGAACACTTTTTAGAAAAAAGTCAATCTTCAAATTAGTTTTGTTTTGTGAATTCTAACCTACAATTCTGTATTCTATTTGTATTTCTCTAAGAACTTAGCATCTTTGAGTATTTTAGGTCTTTCCAGCCTTATCTGGGTTCTGTTATCTCTTCACTTCTCTCTTTTATGATATGATCTGAGCTTTTTAAATTTCTAACATTTATTATTGGTCAACTCATTTTTAACTTTCTTAGAGTTCACTGCAGTCCCTGTGTGGGGGGCATATTCAGGAGTACATACAAGTGCTCATCTTGAGATAGAAAGAAAATAGTTGCTAAAAGTTTAGTTGTCTTATTTCTCATCTTATTTAGTGGAAAGGATGAAAAAAAATACATTATTTTATGGTTTTCCCATTGGTTCTTGACTTCATTCTGAAATATAACCTTTTCAGTTGCCAGGTTACTTTTGGCAACTGAAAGTTTTAATTTTTAATTGAAACTGAAAATGTAAATTTTCTAAAGTGATTTGAAATACAGTTTGAAGTCACTTAATTGGAATAGAAAAAGCTTTATTTATGATTTCATTACTATTATTCTTTAGAAATGTTGCTATTTTAAAATTTTTTAATTGAAAAACTATTTTTGTCCAGGCACGGTGGCTCACGCCTGCAATGCCAGCACTTTGGGAGGCCGAGGTGGGCAGATCACGAGTTTAAGAGATTGAGACCATACTGGCCAACATGATGAAACCCATATCTACTAAAAAATATAAAAGTTAGCTGAGCATGGTCTCGCACCTGTAGTCCCAGCTGCTCGAGAGGCTTGAGGCAGGAGAATTGCTTGAACCCAGGAGGCGGTGGTTGCAGTGAGCTGACATTGTGCCACTGTACTCCAGCCTGGCGCCTGGTGATAGAGCAAGACTGTCTCAAAAAACCAAAACAAAACAAAACAAAAAAAACTTTTTATGTAGCCATTAACAAAGAATGAGGGCTGTATGTATATAAGGAGTTGGATGGATGCTCGTAATAAATTATTCAGGGAAAACAGCGAAGGATGACATTTGTATGTTTTACTTTACATACATTGGTATTTTCTCACTGTATTTTTTTAATAGTTAAAATAGTTAGAAAATATGTGTTTAATGGAAAATGAATAAACCAATTGAAAAATATATAAAGTAGATAATTTAAAACATCAACTTAAAATTTTCATTCTGAATAGCTTCTAATAAATAGAACAGTTTTTAATGTTATTTTTTTTTACTTCATTGAGTTTTCTGCCTCATCATAGGTTCTTGTTGTTGCTTGTGTTATCAAGGTAATTTATGCAAAGCATAATTGAATAGTTTTACTGAGGATAATCTGTTTCTTATGGTCTTCCTTCTGGTCATTATTTTTTAATTCTTCAGTCTCTTATGCCAGTTTTCTTTCCTAACTAGTTAACTCTATTATTCTGCCTTCACATTGCTGTCACATCTGTATACTCCTTTGTCAAGCTATTGCCATCACTTATTGCCAGGCCTTTCACTTGCGATGAAGGTGATGGCGGCAGCTTCCTGTCTTCTGTGTCTTACCTCATCAGTTCTATCTATGTATTCCTGTCTTATTTGTTTTTTTTTGAAGCTCATTTTTTCACCTTGTATTTCCCTGCTTGTATATCTCTTCTAGTTATGGCTCCAGTTTAACTTTCTAGATAAGTTCTCCCTACTGTATTACCATTTTTACAAAGAACAATTTGCTCTTCCAGAATATGCTGCAGTGCCTTATTCAGCAGTGTTTTTGTTTATATTCTTCTTAAATTCAACACGATCCCTTTCTTCTTAAGTCTAAAAGAACTTTATTCTTCTTTTATAGTATTTACCACATCTGCCTCTGTTTTTAGGTATTGCCATACCTTTTAATGCCTTGACTCTAGATTTTAAGCTCTTGAGGGTAATGATTCTTTCATATATTTCAAAGTATCTGCCAGAATGCATCTATAGTATAAGATTTTAAATACTAATTGAATTACAAAGCTTACTTAATTTTATAGTCGTAAAATGCAATAAAATGAAAAGTTTTATTGACTTTGGGAAGTAGCCTTGAAATAGGTGGAATAAGCCCTACTAAGATCTTGTTTCCTAATAATTTTAGATTTCTTTAAACTCTTAAGTCTGATTTCAGTTCAATGAGAAATCTGATTTTTAATGCCCAAGGAACTGAGATTTTGCTATATGTCTCCCCTTATCTGCAGGGATACATTACAAGACCACCAGAGGATGCCTGAAACCGTGGATAGTATTGAACCCTACCTATAGTACATTATGTACTATGTTTTTTCCTATACATACATACCTATGATAAAGATTAATTCATAAATTAGGCACAGTAAGAGATTAAAAACAACTAATAAAGTAGAACAATTATACATAAATATATAAATAAGTTTAGATATAACAATTTAAAACTTATAAATTGTTTATTTCTGGAATTTTCCATTTTAATATTTTTGGACATGCTAACTGACATTGGGAAACTGAAACTGCAGCAATTAAAACCGTGGTTAAGGAGAGACTGCTGTAATTTTAGTTAAAGGATGAAAAAATAGAACATATACCTAAAAACTGACTTGGGTAAGAAATACGTAATTATCATGAAGGGCATTTTAAAAGATGCATCATTGTAAATAATTCTACCTTTATAATAAGTTTGAACATTTGTTCGGTAGTATATGACAGAGTAACAACTTCTTTACAAAATATAAAACAAAAAAAGCAAATATTATTTTTCACATCTTGTTGAGCTCATCTTTGGTTGATATTTAAAATACTACGTGGAATAAGCCCTACTAAGGGCTTAAGGGCTTTTTATCCTTTGGAAGAACTGACCAATTAACTGTAGAAATTGATATCTGTGCCTATGATTTATTAATAGCATATGGATAGAAAAATTTAGTTTTAAGAAGGGTCCCATACTGAGTTTGCTGTTGCCTCTATTGCGTTTGCATTTTTAATTTTTCATTCTAACAGGAAATATTAGCCTTAATGCTTTTATGAGCAAAATTACTTGAAATAAAGTGAATTCACACATTGTAATGAAGACCAACATGAGGAAAATAGAAATATTTATCTTTTCATAGAACAGATGTTTAATACAAAAAGTTGTCTAAGCTTCTCATTCTCACATTTAAGCTGAGGTCAGTAGTTGGAAACATAGTTGTGACTTGTTTTTGAAGCTAAGTTTTTAGCCCATAAGCATTATTTTGGTTTGCATATTTTATACTACTTAGCACATTAGAAAGCTATTAGAAGTTTTCTGATAGGTATGAATTTTCTTGTCCTAAATCAGTTGATGCACTTTTGTATACCTGAAAGATCATTACAGATGGGCAAAAATGCTTGCTAAATATCTGCTTCAGTGCCAATAATAGCAGTTTTAAAGGCAATATTGTGATACTTGCCATTTATTTATTTCTTATTACAGAAGACAAGAAGGCATGAAAGCAGCTTAGACAAATATATTAGAAATCTGTTTTTATACTGAGTTCTTTGGCATAGTTATAAACATTAAGAATAAAAATATTTAAAATGTAAGGGAGTTTTCCTTAATATGAAGGCTCTAAAAATAGTCTAATTTTTATTAAGATTATAAAACTAGATATTAAAATTTTATGGTTGGAGTCCAATTATAAAATTCATTTTTAAAATTTTTAAGTGAAGATATTAATGAGTTTGTTTTATTTCCTGGGTTAAAAAATAAAAATAAAATAAAAGAAGATTAGGAGTTATGCTGTGCCAAATGGTACCAAACAAACATTTTCTTGATACTTTTGCACCTGAAGTGTTAATTTCCCTTTGGGGTTTCAAAAACTTGGCTATGCTACATTTTGAAGCATTTTTTTAACTTCAAAAAACAGTAGAAAATAAGGCAGAAGGAAACTGAGGTTTTGCCAAGATTTGACATTATGTTAACATTATTATCAGAAATAAATTACTATTGAATTTGCCATGTTACCTTAATGAGTCCAAACTATTGCATGGTATTCATTTCTCCAAGGATTCGGATATTTAGTAAACTAGACTGGATAAATCTCATTTATTTGTATAAAAGTGATATATTGTTGAATTTTTGGACTTTTTTGTTTGTTTAAAAATGGGTTGCTACTTGGTTTAGTGAATACATTTTCAAAAAATAGAATAAAAATTGTTCACTTAGCCAATTACATTGCAGTATTTTCCTATTTTAAGTAACATTGCTAATTTTCTGATAATGATATTGGCACTTACTGATAGATTATTACATTAGAGCAATTGGAAAATACTGGCTTGATATGAGATTCCTAATCCTTGTAATCTGTAGTTAGGGTTCGCAATTTCATGATTTTCCCACATGAATTCAGGGTTGGAGAGAAAAATGCCTAAAGTTAAATTAAGTGATGGTAGAGTAGAAAAGTGACAAGATTTATTGTTACTTTAATGATTTTCAGTGTGGAAATAAAACAATTATATTTTGAAATACTTGGGAGCTATGATTGCTTAGGAACATTGTATAAACTGTATTACTCAAAACTTGCATGTATCTAAAATTAGAGGCTTTGTTAGACTTTTCTATAATAGCATAACATCTTTTTTTTTTCCTTCCTGGTATTCAGATTTGGATAGTTAACTTTCTATTATACAAAAGGGCTGAGTTGAATAAAGTTATGAAGTAGGTTAATGTATTATTATTATTTTTTTTAACCAGTATACTGTATTAATCCAGAGCATTTGGCTTAAACTTAAGCAAAGAGAGAAGGGAAGAAAAAGACTGGTGCTTTAGTGTTCTTCCTTCCCTTTATTTTCTTTTCATTTGTATATTGTAGGCATACTGTCCTTGAACTTAGAAAATCAGTTTTGTTTTTTTTTTTCATAGTGAACATGAATTTTAAAGTTTCTCTATCTTGGTGTGTATACAGAGGTTTTTTTTTTGTTGTACATTAATTTTAAAATTTTGATAAATCCTATTATTTTTTACATTTAAAAGAATACAGCTTCATACATAGTTCATTATTTTTGATGCATCAGACATAGCAAATACACTATACCAGCAAACATAGAATAGTGGTATGGAAAATCCTGGATTGTTTTGAGCCCATAATTTTGGGTTTTAGGTTAAAATGCTACCCCAGTTGTCATGTAAATATATCTGTAATTTGTGGCTTAGAAATAATGCACTGTAACTTCAAAAAAAAGCAAGGATACCTATGTTAGTTACACTTTAAAGTTATACACTGTTTTAAGGCTATGTATTTATTCTTTAGAAAATATGACTTACATGAATATTTTCTGTTGGACATAATATTGACAAAATATACACATGATAATACTTTAACAAACTGCCATGCAACAAATACATTAAGTAATGAAGTTGAATATATATGACCTAATCTAATTGACATTCACATTGAAAATTTACAACATAATCAATACTTAAAATATTTCTTCTTATATTTGGCAGTAATATCAGTTTTTACAATTTAAATTTAAAACTCATTTGAATGTGGATTTGGTGAAACTTAGACTTTTCTCTAGTCTGTGACAACCTGAGGTACTAAACATTTCTCTCTTATTTCACTATCTTCAAAGGTAATTTTTTTGTTTCTTTTAGGATCTATCCAAGAGTTGTGTATTACAGCGTTATTAGGCAGGGGATCAGCTTCTACTATGGAAACAACTCGCTTTTTCATTTTACTTTTCAAGACCTTTTGAAATTTTTGTCTAGTGAATGCATATAATAGAGGGTGAAATATAGTTGTTCCATAAGCCATGACTAAAAAACTCAATCTTAATTTTACTAAAAGGTCACTTGGGCCTAAACATAAAATGGTGGTATTTAAAACAGAAATTGGTGTCCAGCAGAGAAGAAATGTAGAAATAATCAATAAAGACATCCTGAAGACTCTTTTTTGTCTTTCTCGTCGTTCACGGTGTCGTTTCACAGCTCGCCGGAGGGCAATTATTACAGAAACTGAAGTTCTTACACCAAAGACCACATTTCTCCCACCACTGCTTTGTGACATGTCTGTAGCCTCGTGTTGTGTGGTTAGAGAAATTGTCTTTTTCTTTCTTGCTTTCTTCTTCTGCCCTGTTGAAAATCTTGTGCCTATTCGAATATTAAGAGCCTGAAGTATTTTGGTATATGTGATTAGCATTACTACAACAGTAAAAAAGAATATTGGGATCTGTACTAACAGGTGGTAATACATTCCCAGTTCAGTGTAGTATTCATTTGTACTGACACATAAAAGTGTCTTGTTTTCCCATGTATTTCCACTTTGAAGACTGAAAAAATTTACCTCAATAAAAGGAATGAGGAAAGAGAAAAAAGAAAAAATCCAAATGGATGTCATTAACATTACAGCTCTGCCCATTGTCAGAATTCGGTTTGCAGGTTTTACAGAGATGTCGTATCTGTCCAAAGTGATAGCAAAAACGTTGATTGCTGTTGAGACACTTGCAAAAGATACACAAGCCTCATGGAAACAGCAGATGAGAGCAGTGTTACTCTCCAGTGAAAGCAGAAGGATAACTATAGTTAGAGGAATACATCCCACACAAATTATTACATCAAGTACATGAAGATTCATCGTAATAATGTTACTGACAGAGTTGATTAAGTTGGATTTCATGCAGTAAAGTACCAATACGGTGAGGTTGCTGCCAAGTCCCAACACAATTTCTAACATAAGAAATCCGGTGAGAGACACTTGAAAGCTTAACGGATATGATAGTGGTTGGTACATATTGGTGTTGATGTCATCAATGTCATCTCGCACTGTAATGTTAGATTCAGACTGCATGTTGATTTCCAGAATGGGAGAAAAGCACATTCTTTTGGAGCAGTTGTTTTTTTCCCTAGAAAGTGAAATAGAATAAACTATTTGATATTTGGCAATTTAAATGCTGTAGAACGTGTTCTTTGTAAGAAATCTTTTAATTGTGTGCTTGATTTAATTTTTAAGTTTGTAAACTATTAATAGAAAATGTAGAATTAAGAAACATCAAGGTTGCATTATTTTGTTATAAAAAATTGTGTTTCCCTTTTGAAGAAATAACTATGAAAATTGTTCCTCGGCAGTACAGAGTTATTTTAATATACTAAAGGATTTTTCCTCATTTGAGTTTTTCAAGCTTATTATTTGAGATAAAGTATATTTTTGTATGATAAAACTACCTAGCATACAAAATAAATCTCAAGCCAGTGTCTTAAAATTTCATTTAAATGTTGTGAGTAGGTAGCAAATAAATGCTATTTTAATATACTCTAGCATAATGAGTGTAGGTGTAATTATTCCTGTGAGATTTCAAATGAACAGGACAAGTGTTCATTTAAAATGACAAATGGCACAGAGCTCTAGTTTGTTTTAAGACGCTTTATCCATGTTGATTGAATTTCATATTCAGAAGTCAACAGTGTGCTTGGGGACATTTGGAGTTATTTCCCACAGAAATAGGCCAGTGATAAATATTTCATATATCACAGTTACAATGCTCAGTGAACTTTACAATTGGCAGACTTAAAAATTGGAAGAAATGGGACGTTATGCTAAAATAAAAAGCTACAAAGTTTGGTAAAAGAGCATTAATCACTCCGATGAGTGATTTATTTTGTGACCATACCCTGTTGTAGCTTGTGGAAACAGGAAATTGAAATTTAATATCACATAGCCATTTTTAAAGTGGTTTAAAGAAATATATCAGTTAACTTGGTTTAAACTGAATTTTTAAAGTAAAAGATGAAATATCAGGGAAAAGGGGTATGTGAGGCCCATTTTTTGAGGAAGCTTTTAAAGTTATACATTACCTGTGAAACCTTTTGTGTACATCACCCATTGTATAATTTTGAAGAAAATTTAAAAAAAATACAAATTCTTGTGCTAATTCATGCAAATCTATGTTTTAATATATAGGGGTTTAAAATAATTTGTAAAAAATAATGTCTAATATTCTGGGCTAAAATGTCACTTATTCAGTATATTCAGTTTAAAATATGAACTCATACAACCAACTATATTTTACATTTAAAATATCAACTGCAAAATCATATTCAAGCATAAATTATAAAACCTAATTTCAAAATTCATGTTAACTTTCACTTGAGGTTATGTTTGACAAATTTTAGAATACAGTTTTATGCATGTTATTTTGGGGATAATATTGCAGAAACACAAATGATAACATTTCTTTTGAGTTAGTATAAAGTATTACTAGAGGCATATTTCTTCGAATAAGTTAAGGTCTTAGCTAACATTGAAGTCCTATAAAAATGGAAAATTTTAAGTGTGCCAGATTTTCTCAAATGACAGATTAAACATCAGGTCTTTGTCACATCAGTTAGATTTATAATTTAATAAAGCAGAAATGTCAAGTTAGATGATAATTAAGAAAAATACATTTTCTCTACAGCAAGATTCTGATATTTTGTAAATGTTAAACAATGTGGTCCAGTGCATGCATCTTCTGACCTACCTGTTTGCTGTTGCCTTATGGGCCTTTTGGCTCACAATGGCAGTTTTTGACAAATTGATACATGATATCATTGACAGATTTTGACATGAATTTTTACCTGACAACAGTGAAGTAGCTGTGATTTATTTCATGTCTTGTAGGAATTCTTTCATTTTCTCTCCAGTACTTCAACTGCATGCATTATGAGATTTAGTTGGCTGATGGATTTCTAAAGAACAGTACATAATATTTTATTTGTTTTGCTTTAAAAAGTCATGACCAAGAGAAACTTCCTCAGATGATAGGAATTATGTTTCCCTTTGATGGTGTACATGAGAATGTCTCTTTATTTTCCAGAATATGTGAAAACAAAAAAGGAAACATCATAAGATTTGTAGCTTCTAAAATATATTTAAACATCCTTTTGTTACAATTGTAAACTGTTTTTATAGCAGTCCTCGCTATTTTGAAATGATTTCTTGATCACATAACTTGCTTTATATTATAAATCCAGGCCATGCCCTTTTGATAAAAACCATCTGCTATTTAATTTGGTTTGTTTTCATTAGAAGAGGATACATAATTGGTCATAAAAGTCAGAAAAATCCATTAGTCGTATCAATTGATATGAATATCTGAATATTTAGTGCACAACACACTTGCTAAATCTTCCTTTTGTTTGCTGGTCAAGTATGTTATTTTCTTTTTGGAAATTCATGTTTCATTATTTCTTCCAGAATCAGTAGCTTCCACAATTCTGGTATGTTAAAGTATAAACTTCCTTTTTTAAAATGCTCACCAGTTCTTTTCGGGCTTTTACAGTTATATTGTTTTTCTTTTTGTGGTTATTTTCTGTAGCATCTTCCTAGGATACAGTTGATTTTTTATATTCCAACAGTAATGTAGACCTGTTCCCTGGTTTTAACTCCTTAATGTCTTAAGTCATGTTATAGGAACATCTTGCAGTTCGTAGTTCAGACAGCTAGGGAGATGCTCAGTCAGTTGCATTCTTCATATTGTCAGTTGTAAATACTGAATTAGCTGCTATCGGTCCTGTGAAAAGAAAATAATTGGTTAAGAAATAGGATTTTTAAAAATTTGCAGTTAATTGAAAGTTACTTTAGTTTTGTTTAAAAACTATCCAGTGTTTCTTATCACAACAACCAAACTGAATTAGTAGAGCCACAGCTATATGCATAAAATTAAATTTCTTTAAATAAAAGATTCCTTTTTCCTAATAAAGATTGTATATATTATCTTATTTAACAATACAGTTCACATTTCAAATACAGTTGAGAGAAAAGCTGTATTTTTTAAAACTAGTTTCTGCTCTCATTTTAGAAGCTAATCTGTATTTTCAGAGACGATGAACAGTTAGCATACACTAAACATATTGTTATTTCCTCTTTGTAATAAATTTAACATTTCTTGCTGTAAAAATACTGTAACTTGCTTAATTATTAGCACATGGCTTGAATTTTAACTCATTAAAACAGATTTCCTGACAAGATACTATAAATTTCTATTGATGAATTGTTCGTGTGGTTGAAATATAAAAGATAATAAAAATTATAACTGCAAATTAATTTTCAGTGAACATGCCCAATAATAAACTTAACATAAAAATAAGTAATAAGTAACAGCAAAATAGTAAACTTCGTTCTTTTAAGAAATACAAGCATTTTTGGAACACTGGAGAAAAACTGTACCGATTACCTTAAGAATATTTAGTATGTCTGAAGTGACTTAAAAGCTGTCTTCATAGTGAATTAACAAAGAATATTTGTATTTAACAATGCATTATAAAAATTACATTTAAAATTTAGCATGTCTTAAAAGAAATTGATCTTAAAATACATGTCTAGCAATAAGTAGAATTAAACAAACTCTTAAAATTTAGGCTGAAATTTTTCAAAGTAATTTTTACCCCACTATGCCAGTTCAAAAGCAGCTGTATACTATAATAAGGAACACATCTTACCTCCGCTAAAGATTTGATAAATTCTTGATGTAGTTGAAGCATTTCCAGTTTGGATTGATTCATTTTGTTCACTTGTTAGTAGAGGACTAGGGGAAGAGGGTCATAAACATCTCTTCGAAAATGACCTTAATGAAAATATGTGTCTGTAGTGTGCCATTGTTTCAGCAGTACTGCTAATGTATGGAACATGTAGTGCTGCTTAGAGGCTGCTGCAGTCTCTCACTCTTCCTACTGTGGAATCAATAAGCATCTGAAAATACATAATGAAAGTAATTTAACATACTGAAGGCTTCTTGTCTCCAGAGACAACATTTAGATTCAGTCTTTCTAAAAAGGAACGGCACTGCTTTTCGGAGGAAAGCCTGTTCTGGGCAGCTTTTGCAGAATGACAGCCTACCTTGTCGCTTCTCTCCACTGCAGAGAGATGCAGTGCATTCACTAATTTTGATTGGTCAGTTGTATTGGGCTTAAACTGTGCTTCATATGTATAGCAGGGATTTCCCCCGCTCCCCACTGTTTTATATAAGGATACTTTTTTAAAAAGGCTAAATTTATGAGTGGTTATATGTTGTTCTTAAATAGAATATGTGTAAATTAGTATTTTAAAAATGTGTATTCTATTCTGGTTTGTTGGTCACTTATGCCTAACATTAAAAAATGCAGGGAGGTGGGGGAACAGAAAAGATTTACATAGTAAAAAGTTTATATTCTTTTTAAAGCCTTGATAATTGCATTTGAGAATATTTTAGTCGTATATATGTTTTTGGTTGAGATTCTTTGTTCTACAAATAGAAACCCACTGCTTCTTTACTGTGAGCCACATTGAATTTCAACTAGTTTGTTTGTATTCAAGTCATCTTCTCTGAGTATTCCAAATTGTTGTGAGCATCTCAAGGTATTAAACATTGTCATGACTTCACTTAAGTATTCATTCATTTGGGTATTCATTCATTTCATTCATTCATTCATAATAATAATCAGATTGACCTAAGGTGATAATACTCTAAAATATTTTTTAAACATTTCATTGTAATATCTTAGTCTCAGGGTGTAAAATTTTAATCATTAATAATTGTATTACTTTTGGAGATTACTACTTTATCTTCACCTTTGATAACCCCTTTATTTGGTAGATGTATACTGATCACTTGATACAATATTTTATTTCAGTTGGCTTATTCTATTTTTGACCTGGGCACATTTCTTGGATTGCTATTTCTTAAATATTATATGTAGCTACATGCTAGTGTTGTTAATAAAATATTGTCTTAAAGTAAATTAAGTTAGTTACATGTCTTTATAAGTTATAAAGCTAAATGATAAGGTAGATACACTTTCAAAATGGAAATAATGATATAAGTACTGAATATTTAACATTAAATATTTAAATTTTTAAATTTTAAATTAAATATTTAAAATTAAAAATCAAAATTAAAATATTTAAAATTAAATTTCTATTTTATTTACCTATAAATAAGCTTCTATTTTTAATAGTGAGGATAAATTTTTTTTAGAATTAAGTAAATAAAACAGCTGGACTCTCTAGAAGACATTACAGGTGGCTAAACTGTTAGAATGTTAATCATCACCTATTTCCATTATTTTAGGAATATTTAGTGATCTTCATGTTTCAAAATGTATACTGTTTTTTATTTGCAATTGGAACTATTCTTTTATTATTTGGAAAAGCAGTATGTATTTTTATAATCTTTCAGTGGTGGTGTTGAAGCTTTATAGGGGAATAACTGACCAGTATATGAGTTGTGAGTTGCATTTCTATAGAAGTTCAGAGTAATGTGGTGGAAAATTTTGTTGTGAATTAAAAAAATCTTCTGCACAGCTTTGGGTGGCAAAGCTTTGGTAATGCTAAAAATGAAAATGTTGTGCTGCTATTCATGCATTTTGAAAGTTGGGGAAAAGGATCTTGTTAGAATGCCAGCCATTTATAAAGATAACTTAAACACACACACAGACACACACACACTCCCCCGACAGACATTCATTTAAGCTTCAAATTAAAACCAGAGAAAACATGTTAGCATCAGTTGAAATATGTGGTGGGGGTGAGGAGATTATTAACATACTCTAGTAGAGTGCTTTTCTGCCAGAGTTCAAGTAGTTGCTTATGTTTATCATCAAAATATTCCCATGAAGTTGAAGAAACCAAGATACAGAGAAAGTTACTAACTTAAAAGGGTCTAGATAAGTTAGCAGCAGAGTCAGTGTTAAAACTCTGCAAACCACACTCTACTAGGCAGTTGGCCTTTTCTCTTTGGAAAATTATGAAGGTTTTGGGATTTAGTATTGGATGATCTAGGGTTAGTTGCTGTTTATTGCCTATATAACTTTTGGCAAGTCAAGCTTCCTCTGGGTCAACTTTGGCTCTTTTTGTTAAAGTATATTTTTATGCTTTGTTTAACTCTTTGTGAGACAGTGTTTTCAAGTTTTACTCAGATTATTTAAAAAAACAAAAACAAAACAAAATCTGGGGTTTCTGAGCCATAATGGTAACTCAGCGTGGACATTGCACTTTATTTTCTGTGTGAGTAACTTGTCTCCAGGGATACATAAGATATCACAAACAGTGTTTTTTTTTTTTGTTTGTGTACAATGCTTAGTATAATTTGATTTCCTTTTAAAAACCACAAATTGTTTTGGTGATCACAAGGTATGCTGAAATCTTAACAAGGTAATTCTAACTTCACCTGTTTTTAACCAGTATGCAAATATCTAAACCATTGATTGAGAATCAGATATTATTTTCATGAAAAAAATTAATAACAGGCTGGGTGCAGTGGCTCATACCTGTAGTTCCAGCACTTTGGGAGGCCGAGGCGGGTGGATCACTTTAGGTCAGGAGTTCGAGAACAGTCTGGCCAACATGGTGAAACCCTATCTCTACAAAAAAAATACAAAAATTAATCAAGCATATTAGCATGAGCCTCTAGTTCCAGCTCCTCAGGAGGTTGAGACATGAGCATCGCTTGATCCCTGGTGGCGGAGGTTGCAGTGAGCCAAGATCGGATTGCTGCCCTTCCAGTCTGGGCAACAAGGTGACACTCAGTCTCGAAAAAAAAAAAAAAAAATTAATGTCAAATTATCAGTTTATAAAGATTCTTGTTTCCATAGTAACACTCACACTTGTGCATGTAATATATTTTGTATTCATATAGGATACTAATTTTGAAGGATGCTACAGTTGGTGATTTTAAACCTAATTTCATGTTATAAAATAATGTTATAGGCTAACCTTTATATAATAACCTAGGAAAGCAGTTTGACTTCCTAATGATAACTAAGCACTAGATTTGATTCTAACCTCAAAATACAGCTTAATTAAAATCCATTTCCAAAACTCATGCCTTCCTTTTTAGTTATAAGTATTTTAATTGGGTATCTCTTTTAATTCCTAAAAATTCCTCATATGGGGAATCTCTGATTTTTAATTTTATGTATTTGTCTTCTTAAGTTTGGACAACCATGACTATGACAGAGTAATTTATTGTATATTTATGTTGTACTATGCATATCAAATCATTCTTACCTAGCTTGTGGCTAGTTCTGATGCCACATTTTTGAAGATTGTCTGAGTCTGTAAATAAATCTCAGCTTTGTGAAATAGTGGAATTCACCATAACTGAAAGTACATTGAAACAATTTTAAGGTATCTATGCACAAACAGTTTCTAATTGCTAAAAATCAGGTTTAAGCTGTATTGTGACAAGGATCTTTTTCATTGTCAATTTAGCGTAGTAAACCTTGAACTCTGATTCTGGAGCCCATGGAAAAAAGGATTATTTTGCTTTAATGCCAATTCAGAAATTTCATTTGGCTTCTCTACTTTACATTTCTTTTACACCAAATATTTTATCAAAAAAATAGAAATGGACCATCTGCTGAACCTCCATCAAGTGGGGAGTAGCCAAAGTAGTAGAGCGTCAACAACATTGGTGATTCATTTTCTATTTGAGAATAATTGAAAACTGATTATATTTGATAAAGCACATGCATCAGAATTGTATACACTTAACAGATAGAAAATCTGCAAGCCATTCTTTCCCATTCTTCCCTACCTCACCTAAACTGGGCATTTACATTTCTTTTATTTTTATTTTTCACACTGTATTTGTAAGTCATTTGCCAGTATCACATACATTATAAAAATAAACACATGGCTTTTCTTGCCATTTTTCCATCCAAACTTACACTTTGGACCCTGTGACTATTACCACAGTTTATCCTCCCTCTGTTGTACAGCTGTTGGCATGTCTACTTTGGGCCCTTATTCAAATTATTACCTTCATGCCCAGCTTTCTGGTTTACTATTTGCTTAATAACCCTCTTTATCTTCGTAAATATTATGGATTTTATTGATGCTTTTCTCTTATACAGTATTTTAATGACAGAACTATACCAATACCCATGTTCGTGCCCCGTCACTTGCATTGATTTCTCTTTTCTCTTGCTTCCTTTTTTTCTTTGCATAATTTTCTAAGTTGTGCAGAATCAAATTAATATTATGTTCTGAGGCCAAGTCCATTGATCAACTAGATTACATATTTAACAAAGCTGTGTCAAGTCCCCTCTTTTGTGATGTTATAACTGTTATCCTCTGCTGGGGGACATAGCTGACTATCTATATCTAGTGATCTGTTATTGATGCAAGTTAGTTACATAACATTTTTTTTTAAGAAGGCTGCCATTCTTTATGTAGAGTGAGAGAATGGCAGAGTTTTATTGTAGGCTATAGTTCTATAGACTCAGTAACATCCACTATACTACTTGAGTCATCCATTTGGGAAAATGGATGCCTTTTAAGAGTTTAGTTAATAATTCTTGAAGACTATAATCACTGGTGTCTGTCTGCCAGGTATATTCAGCAGTGTATCTTCAGTTGCTGCTACCTTCTGATCTCTGTTTAGGGGTGCGATATCTATAAAAGGCCTGCTGTTATTTTGATTGGTATTGTAGAGAATCTGCAGATCAATTTGGAAAGAATTGACAACAGTATTGAGTCTTCTAACTTATAAACACAGTATGTCTATTATTTTTAGGGCTTTTTTGATTTATTTTGTCAGTATTTTGCAGTTCTTGGCCTATAGATTCTGCACATATTTTGTTAGATTTGTATTTAATTTCTTTAGTGCTATTGAAGTAGTACCTTTCTTTGAGATGGAGTCTTGCTCTGTCGCCAGGCTAGAGTGTGCAATGGCGCCATCTCTGCTCACTGCAGCCTCTGCCTCCTGGATTTAAGCGATTCTCCTGCCTCAGCCTCCTGAGTAGCTGGGACTACAGACACATGCCACCACACTCAGTTAATTTTTGTATTTTCAATAGAGATAGGGTTTCACTATGTTGGCCAGGATGGTCTCTTATCTCTTGATGACGTGATCTGCCAACCTCGGCCTCCCAAAGTCCTGGGATTACAGGCATGAGCCACTGTGCCCGACCAGTAGCAGCTAATTTTTTTAAAAAAATCCAATTGTTTATTGTTAGTATATGTAATTAGGATCAGTTTTTGTATATCGAACTCATATCCTGCAACTTTACTAAATTCATATATTAGTCTTGAGAGTTTTTTTGTGTGAATTCCACAGTATTTTCTATATAGACAATTAATGTTGTCTGCAAATAGTTTACTTTTTCCTGAAACATGTGTGACTTATTTATATTCTTGCCTTTTTGTACTGCCTAGGACCTCTGGTATTAGGTTGAATAGGAATGTTTTGGGAGAAGCAATCCACCATGAACCCTGAACATTCTTGCTGGATATGATGAGAATGCAAAACCGTAACAAAACTACTTTTTACCCGATCTATTTCACAGGCTTATATTTGTAGCTGGCAACCTTGAGAAATGAAGTAATGATGCCCTTACCAAAAAGAATACAAGCAGACTTGCTTCTCTTTGTTATAAAAATGGCAACTTTCCCAAGCTCAGTGTTCTTCAGCTGTAAAAAAACTCATAGTTCACAGAGCATCCACAGTCCTTTGCCACGGACTTGGAGGGCAAGGTGCATTGTCACTGATAATCATGCTCATACTGCTTGCTGTATCATCGGTAATACAGTTGTTTGGTTTGGACCCAGGCATCTTATAGCTTAGCATTCATGAAAACAGTAACAGACTAGCTTCATAGCTTATAAATAGGGTAGAATCCCAGACCCTAACAATTTTTGACATTTTTGGCTACAAGCATATGATTTTGAC